TACTTAGTTTTAAAATATAACCATTTAGGTGGCCACCATCAGTCTGGTTATTGTGGATGCTCACTGTCCACCACACTTCGCTCTGATTTGTCCCTGCAGGTCTCAGATTCTCTTGCCAGAAATACGTGTGGTGTATGTTTAACGCATTTCATTTCATAACCTGGGAATACTTTTTTTCCTCTCAAGATTCTGGATTTTAAACAGAAAATCTCATCACTGAGGATGGGGAGATGACAGGGTGAGGAACACCCAGCCTGGGACCCCCCCAGGACCAAAGCCTGCATCGGGAGGAAGCAACAAGGGCAATTCCAGGGCTGGGAGATAGGTGGGGAACACGCACAGAGGGAGCTGCCGAACTAATGCATGGCGAATCATGGTTGGGTATGTCCTTTCAGAGCCCTCCTTAAAGAGGCAACACTTCATTCAGGCAGCTCTTGCAATCTGGGCTCTGCTCATCTTTCTTGGTGCCTTGGCTCAGTCCCTCCCCACAGTTCCCATCCCTGACAGCTCTCACAGCACACACTACCCCCCTGCACTGCTTTGTAGTGCAGCTTAGGGAAAAATGGAGGAGGAAGCAGAGAATAAACATATTTGAGGACCGACGACTCAGACTAACTAGAGAATGTGCTTAAAGCAGTGCTCTGCTGTTTGCTTTACCCCTTTTAGACTGGGTCATCCCAATTCTTTCTCTCCATTTAATGGTGACATAACTAAGCAGCCAGGAGGAAGCTGTCTCACCTATCATAAAAGCACAGTATGCGGTAATCACAGGAGGCTACCGTTCAAGACAAAGCCATGAACTCCACTTTTAAGAATGTGCTGGGCTATAATTCTGAAGAACACACTTATTAGCAAACTCCTATTTTTATAAACTGCAAATCAAGACACAGCTCCCTTCAGCACTTGACCGGCTTTATGAATCATGAGCCCTGCAGTGCATTGCCATGAGACTTTGCTTTAGAAATAAAATTGTTTGTTCAACAGCAGAACATCCCAGTTCAGCCTTCTCTTTCCACGACTGCTGCTTAGTCTCAAACCAGAATGAAACAGCTCTGAAATTACACATGCTCTTAATGTCCTCTTAGTATCTACCAAATTCAGTATAAAAGCAACATGGTGAATTTCTAAGTCTGACATCTGCTTGATTAAGCAACATTTTCAGTATCTGGCTACTTTGTAAAAGTAGGCAGCTAAGTAAACCAGGTCTAATGCGGAGTCAGTCATGTAATTTTTTTTTTTTTTTTTTTTTTGGGGGGGGGGGAGGGTGGTGGTGTTAGAGGTTTCCCAGATATCCCTTATTTCAAAGCAGGAAAAAAAACAATGGCCAACTCTGTACCAAACCACAGGTCAATAGATCTCAATGGTCCAAGGTTAAAATTGGCCTCCAGTTAGCAGCACAGACTTATCCCACAGGTATTAAACAGGAAACTTTTAAAGCTTAAAAATAGTTACAGTTATGTGACTTATTCTTGTAAAAGGATTTTTATCATGTACGTGAAGACTAGAAGCCTTCCTCCTTTGAAATGTTTGTGTTTGACACTTCCTCTGTAGCACAGCAAGTCTGTGTTTTTCTCTCTTGCACGGACTGTGGGTTGAGTTTTGTTTTGCTGTTTTGTCCTTTTTTCTTTCACAAATCAAGCTGTCAGCAGCATGGGAAGTAAATCTGTAACTGGGACACGTAAGAACTCTGAGACTGCATCGCTGCTCCCAGTAAAGTCACCCTTGGAAACAAGAGCACTTGAGAATATTTTAAGCACACAGTGAAAGGGTTTTTGCTACGGTTTATTTAGCTGAAAAGGAAAAACATAATTCAAGTAAAAACCTCCAGAGATTAGAGATGCTAGAAGTACTTGGTCTCTGCTGAGCTTCCTACTACTGCAGGCCACAACCTCTAAAGAGCCCTGTGTTTGAATATCCGCTTTGGTGGGGACAAAGCTTTTGGGCTGGAAGATAAACCTAGTTTTCTTGGACTGATATGAAAGCTAAACAATAATATGTGCTCCTCTCCTACTACCACAACCACTCCCAAAGCTAAGAGAGTCTAGCCCAACACCAAAGGGCCATGCTGCGCACAGCTGGTTGCTACACGCATTGCTTTAGCCTGTTATTAACTTCTTCCTCTGCTCCTTACTCACTGCTCTGTACCACGGCTAGTAGCTGTACTCTCCGCATGTCCAGCCTCCAGCCCCAGCAGATCCATCTCTTCTGTCCCCAGATGCCACATCTAGCCACCACTTCCCAGGAGGCCCAGTTTACCTACCCTCGATATCCTGCTGGGCCCTGGAGCCTATCTCCACCGTCAAATGCACCGTGCTCAACCAGCCCAGCAATGTAATTATCAGTGCAGCTGCACAGCCACCAACCTGCCAGTACGCATGTGGCAGACCACTTCTTGGCAGCTATTAATCATATATTGCATAAGAAACAGTCCCTTAACGCAGGCTAGTCTTTCTACTCCCGAACCATGTAAAGGACATAAAAGCTTTTGGCCTGGCAGAAAAGTGAACAAAATGACTGGTAATTAACTCTCATGACTACAAAGGCTAACAACTTCGGCACTCGCAAAGGGGATCAGAGGCAGCTGAGCTGAGAAAGAACTGTAGCAGAACAAGTATTTGCCTGAGAGCAAACACTGCCAGAGCGCTTATTTTAGAATGAATAGTCATGTTAGTTAACTAGAGCTAACTATTGAACAAATAGCTCACGTTACAGCATACCGAGGTACACTAGATGTATCCTTTGATCTACTGACTGACAGACCTACTGCAGTGTTCTTTGTTTCAGAAATCGAAAAAACCCCAATTTATCCTGCGTAGCTGGTTCTGGTTTTTGGTACAGTCTTTTCACAAATTAATAGAAACGAAACTCATATGAAAAAGGAAACTAAAATAGACTTACTCATTGCAGCATGAAATATTTACACTCAGCGTGAGCATGCAAAGAGAAAAAGAGCAACCAAATTAAAAGTTTTTCTGTAAATTGACACATGTGACTGTTAACCCCTTACTCATATCTCCATCAGGACAGGCAGGCTTTGGTGCACTACGTGCTCTTGTTATGTCTGACCTTTTAATGCAACTGCAGCCTCTCAGCATCAGGATTTGGCCTGCTGTTCAGAGGCATACTATGTAGTCCACCACGCCCTACATGCCACTTACTTAAAATACCAGTGTGGACAATGACTATGACTCCCATGGTTTTCAAGAAGTAGGGGAAGAAAGCTGTTTTTTTGGGAGTGTTTTTTAAGGCAGCCAAAATTCATTCTGAAAATGACAAGTAAAATGTGTTCTGATTATCACCATGCAAGTAAACACATCTCATCTGGAAACACACATGAATTGATGAGCAAAAGTTTCCTTCTTATGTGAACTGCTTTATACTGGTCATAAATTTAAGGGATTTGACAGGGATTAAAGAAAGATTCACTTGTCAGCTGCTATGTCCTTTAATAAGCTTCTTAACATCTATACTGACAGAAGCAGCATGTCCCCAATTTAGCAAACCAGGCCATCTCTGTTCAGGTTTCGCGGCAGCTCTGGAGGCCTGGAAAAAGTATTAAAAGCAGTGAGTCTTTTGCCCCCTTTAGGGAAATAATCTGCTAAATAGATTTTCTTCAGACCCAGCTTTTGTGAAATGGACAATGAAAGTATTAACTTAATTTTGAGGGGCCACACAAAGCGTGTGTGTCTCTTTGTGCTCTATTGAGGAGAAATTCACGTACCAAAAACCCATGTCGTCCTCTGCTATATGCTGTTCTCATACGTCCTGCCTTAGTTCATGCCCACAGCAAGCTTATTCAGCTCAGTAAGGACGGCCTTGCTTGTAAAACACTTGACAGCAGCTAGGGGTTCTCTGCCACAGGCAACGTACCCACTGACCTCCTAACCCAGGCAAGCCATCGTAATTCCTGTTTTGCACTCTCACCTGTAACACAGAGGTGAAAAAATTCTTTTCCAGATAAATATTCTTCTACTTTTTTAAATGGTACACTCCTCAGGACAGAGGGTGGACCACATACTTATCCAGAACCAAGCACAAATCACACTTTGCTTTAATTCTTTGGCATCTCTGGATCAGACTCACCCCCTAAGATGTTAAACTGCTTTTGTTTAACAGTGTTTTAAAAGTTCAAGCCGACTGTAAAGCAGACCAGGCAGATTCTCACTTCGGGCCCTTAGGTTAATCTGGTTACCATCCTCCTGTCTTTCTATGCTGTGGGCAATTCCAGGCAAGTTTCTCTTACACTTGTTTTGTGCCATCTGACACTGCTGGGGCCATGCAAGTAAGGAACTGTAATAACAATACTAACTGCTCAGCTTTGACAGGACATAGCTATTTTTACTGGATTACTTTTCTGGCACAGCACTTAAAGCACCAAATGATTTGACACCTGTAATTTTATACTTGGAATAACACAAGGTATTCATACTTCTTTTGTAATGTAAGATAAAAGCAAACACTACATATGTTCTCATTCCAGTGCTGCTGTCTGGCAGCTATTTGCCTAAGGAAAAACAAGTACTGTTACATTACAGAATATGTGGAAAAGTAAGAGCTATGGAAAAGAAATCATTAAATAGGTAACTTATTCCCCTGCTAGCACTAGACTGCTCCCTGCAGCATGTTTCAGAGTGTTTTGTCCAGTCTGGTTTTACAAGTTTCACATTACTTTCATTTATATCTTTAATACAGCGCTGAGTCCAATGCGGTTTGGTGCTGCTTATTTTCCTTGTCTTTCAACTAGAAGGCTCAGTGCTAGACCAGCTGTTCATATAGAGTCGGCTCCAAAGCTACTGAAAAAAGTCTGGACTCTTTCCACTGACTTCAACAGGCTTTGGATCAGGCTCATGAAAAGACGGCGAATACATTTCATCTAAGACTAAGCAGGTTACAGTCAGCAAAGTATAAAGAGGATTAGCTGTGTACAATCCAAAGGCATATTACTCCTCATGCTTCTGAAACAACTGGCTAACACACTTTCGCTTTCACAGAGAGAAAGGGCCAGATTCGTTTCTGGTGCTCTGCCACTAAGTCAACGCCACGGTGCCAGGAACGAATTTGATCTGGAATCTGCCCAGTTAGCCTCATTACAACTGAGATTTTCCTAAACTGGAGGTGAGGAAATTTATTTTCTAAAAATGGCAAACCAATAAGCAAATGCTTTCTGCTTTCCAGTTGAAGTTTAGGTCTTTTAGACTAGAGACCCTATGGAATGAGTATCAAGACACACCGGGGTTTGTCTCTCTCCTCTGTCAGGGAAGGATGGAGACTCTTTTTTCTTCAGAACCTAAAATGGGTCATATTTGGTTTAAAACACTTATACTTAGATGTTCACTTTCTGTCACCGAAACAGATGGGCAGCCCCAAAAATCACTTATTTGTGCATATTTTACAGAGCACTGATACTTCAACACACACCCAGTGTGTATGCTTTGAGTGCATGACTTCTGAAAGCTAGAAGGCCTTTTATCAGGAATTATTTTATCAGTGGGGGACTCATTCTGAACAATACAATCAAACGAAGACGGTGGTGCACAGTTATTCTCCCCACCCTTTCAAAGTTCACAGCAAGCCGCGTCACAGTTAGTGATGTTCTCAGCTGCTGAGAATGCTTTAATCAACCACACTTTTTTTTTCTGCTCTGTTCCCTACGGACAGGGGACTTCATGGCACTGCTTTGTTGTAGGATGTGTACAGTTATAACCTACGCTAAAAGTATGCTATCAGTGAACGAACACTGGGTGTGTGTGTGTCAAGCAGATGAGAATGTTCTTTTGATCTGTGCTCCATCACTCTGGCAGATGGATGTCTAAATTGCTTTATTAATCTGCTGAAGTCTTCCATCATTTCTCAAACAATACTGAAGGAATAGGAAGAACATCGCAGTTTGATTTGCTGCTCTTCCAGATCAAATCTAGCTGGATATTGTGCAGTAGGGGAAAAAAAAAAAAAATTAAAAAAATATTAATTTTCAAGAGGGTTGGTAAGATATCATGTATTTGACACTCTTGGAGGCCACCGTCAGAAGCTTCTCAAATTTCTGTTTAATTGCAAAGCAGTTTCCACACAATATGGGAGCTGTATTTAGCTTTAAGTACAATTTTGAAACTAGTTCAAGGGAGCAAGACAAGGGATTCAAATCTTTTTTTGAGGATAACTTAGAATAAGCATGTTTAAAAAGCATAGAGGTTTCTGAACATGATGATAGCAATGCTTTTAGCCTCCAACATAGGAATAGCTGGGGAAAAACAAGTAACGCAACTGGTTTGAAGCTACAGAAGCTTATTAAAGAAAGCTTACATGCAATTGCCTAAGACTGTGATGTAGAAAATCCTTGATAACCCTTCCAAAAATATGATTCTTATGTGGTAGTGTGACAAAAACTGTGAATCCACCCAAATTTCCCCAGCTATAAATGACAAGGGGGAGAGAAAAAGAGGCAAAGTAGGGCCTCTGTTCTATAAAAGAAAAAAATCGAACTACCACTTCACAGGCAGCTAAGCTGATCTAACAAGTCACAGTTGCAAAAGTGCGAGGTCAAGTCTCTCAATCTCTTACCCAGCCTCCCGGCTGCATTTCCAACAGCTCGGGCACTCCTCTGATCCTTTACCTTCTATCTGTCATTTAGTCAGCCAATTTACCTTGCTATTCCAGAGAAAGCTATCCACCTTTCTGCTATTTTTCTTCCAGACTAATAGGTCAAAGTGGATAAAGTAGGGATCCAATGCATGCCTGAATGAGTGCAAGGTAATCAGCAGGATGACCAAGAGCAAGGAGAGCTGGGAGGGGACTGGGGACCACCACCTCTCTCTTCTGGTGGTAGCAAACTGTGACAGCGTCTCTGGGTGTCTCATGGAAACGCTGTTTTAGTGCAAGGACTCGTCATTAGAAAGGAAGGGCAACTCAAAAGGAGAAGTAGAACAAGTACAGGTCCTGATCATTGTTGTTTTGGAGGTGTGTGGATATAAGGATGCAAACTAGAGGAGCAGGAATCCTGTATGTCTGTAGAGGATTTAACGGACAGAAAAAATATGTGCATATGCAGCAGCTGCAGCACAGTGAGGAGCCAGGGGATGTATAATCTATATGCAAATAACTGCATAGCTCCCCCATGAAGGCATGGAGCTGACTGCACAGTCTTAGTAGCTGTGCACTATGTCTACGTCAAGCCTTATGGTTCTGAGGAGTTTTGCACTCCCTATGCATGGCTTGCCAGCCCAGAGCACACACAGAGCTGCTTCTGCTAGACTGCTTTGTGTTCTGCAACATGCAGTGCTAATGTCCAGGGTTTCTAGACATGCAGCAACTAGTTCAGAAGTGTCTGCTCCCTACAACTACCAGACAGCCAGAAAGCCCAGATAAATTTAAGAAGTCCTCAAAATCTGCCTAAATGTGATTTCCAGGTGGAAAGAGTAAATGTGTCTAGGAGAAGGAAGCCTGCAAAATCCAGAAATCCTTTGCTACCTGTAGAAAAGCAAAAACACAGGACAAGAGAAGTTTAGGAACACCTGTTCTAATGAACTGAAGGCAGGGCTGGAGTCAAGTCTCAATTTCTTCACCTGTCTTCTCTACTGACTTGATTTACCATAACTTCATTTTACAATGAATTTGATAGGATGTGCTTTCACATAATGGAATTATGAGAGTTGTCTTGCAGTTCAGCTTCATAAATGTTCCTGTTACTGTGGCCATTACAAAAGCTGCATAAAGAACTTATTTCAGGCCTAGACACCCATGAAGAAAATAACTGTAAATGAGTAAGAGGCTATGTACTAATGGGAGAATCCACCCTTTTCTCTCCTTTATATGGCACCATCTTATAAAATTACTTACTTACATACCTCACAGAGACGCAATACTTAATTAATATTTGTGAAGTGCTTTGAAATTCTGATGGAAGACATCATACTAGTGTGCATTATGACTAATACAGTGTAAAAGTGATGCCAATGGTGTTGCTCAAGCAGAACACTGAAAGGATATCTATTTGGTTTCTCATTTTAAAAGGAGAACAGAGGTGAAGAAGGGTTAGGAAAGCATTTTAAAACTCAGTTATCCCACAGGAAAAGGGAGAACAGGGGAGGAGAGGAGCTAAAAGTTTTCAGAGGATTTTACTGTGCAGTGTGCATTAACTCCTGCAAAGTCAGAGAGTAGGCACCTACAGCAAAATCCTGGCTCCCGTCAAGTACACAGAAAATGTTTCACCAACTTCAGTGAGGTGAAGATTGATAGTTTTTGTCATAATTTCCAAGAGATGCTTCCAGCATCCCCTATGCAGCTTTGTGACTTTGCATGGCTGCTTGTTTACAGTTTAGGTTCAGGAAATAACCTCCTCAAGCTAGGGCATGCTCACCATGTAAAAGCAACTGCTTGGCTTCTAATAATCTTTCTACTACATCCCACATCTGGAGTAAATCTTTCCATTCTGATAATGAATTTGGACCTGAGCTACCTATTTAAGTTGGTGGCAAAACTCCAGTTCAATGGAAGCAGTGTGGAGATCACTGTAGATCTTGATAAAGATGGGAAGAAAACACCCCGTGTTTAAAGTGGTTGTAACTTATATACATCCCTGGACTTCAGTTCATCTACTCAGAAGACTGTGGAATTTGTAACTAATTTCTGACTGGAAAAAAAAAAAAAAAAAAAAAAAAAGAAGTAACAGAAATTCAGACTTCTTTTTTCAGAATTAGTCCTCCATACCTAGCAGGATAAAGACTAGGAGAAAAATGCTCCTCACCACTTCTGGGTAAGGCATTGGTAAAGAGCACATTTTTTCAACTGGAAGCTTTGCACTCAGTAGGCTTGAAGGAGAAAGACTATAAAGAGTAGCGGGTGATAGGTATCAAAATTTGAGAGAAGGTAGAAGGTACCTGGGAGCTTCTAGTATTAATAGGAATCATTTTACACCAGGAGTCTACAGCTACTTTAGGTAGGAAAAGAGGTGAAAATGTGCTATGATACAAGTTTTGATATTTTTTTTTTTTTTTTTTTTTTTTTTTTCAGTAACAGATTGAAGCCTGCTATTTGGTGTATATGGGGCTCTTGGTAAGCTATCACTTGCCTTTTCCAAGTTATGTGTGATGGCTTCCACTGAGTATCTCTTAAGGTACTCCTGTCCAGCACAAGGAATCTTAGAGGTACTGTTTATTGTAAACCATCTCTTAAGGTAGGCTTTCCAACTAGGCTACATGTAGAAATGTACTACAGCAAACCAGCACTTCTAAGCAGCTTTGTGTCTATGCAATTGCCTAGACCAAATGTAATTATAAAGTTCAATGTTGCAGCTTTCCCTCTTCGCTTGCGCTAGTATGCTGTATCTTTTTAACTGTACTGCAGGTTCTGAAGCATGTAGGCTTTTAGTTTTCTCTCTCAGTGCTTGTACAGCTGTGTCCACAAATGTATATATCCAGTAAAACCCAAGGAAATGTTCCTGGATGCCAGGATTAAGCTTAGATAGCTGCAGCTCTAATAACACACATGCAGTTCTCTGCTTTCTATTTAACAAAGGATTTTCCTAAACCTCTTGCAGCAGCTCTTGCTGTAGCTCTAAGTACTGACAGTTGCTTTCCAGTCCTAGTGGAATAAGCAACATCATTCTTCCATCTAAACTCAGTAGTCAAAATGGGTTGGTGTATGACCTACATGACGTTGCAGCTCTCTGGATCCCAAGGAGAGATGATGCTAAGGGGCCAAGACAAAAATTCAAGCCTAAAGCTTTTATTGCCTAGAAGTCAAATGCCTGATCCTTGTAGCCATGTGAAAACAGTGCTGTGTCACTTGTTTAGACAGATATGCTGTGTCTCCTTCCTCTGAATACTCATTAATAGCATATTTAGTGGACAACGAGTCCCATCAGACATAGCAAATGTTTCTTTAGAGTCCGCCTGTATTATGGTTGGAGATAATGTTGGGCAGGCAGCATAGAGGAAAAATGACTGTCTACTGCTTCACAAGGCTGCTTTCAGGGAAGGACTCTGAAAAGATGCTTGCTACATGTTCTGGAGAGGTGTAATTTTGTGGAGGAGCCAGAAGAAAATGATACAGGAGATCAGAGTATGCAAGGTTGTATGTAAGTCAAAGACCTTTGCTTAGTGCTGTCTGCATTGAGCTGCCAAGACCTGAAGGACTTTTTAATACTCTTCCCCATTTTAAGACTTCAGAAAAAACAGAACACTGGTAAATTAGGTATTTCATGGCTTTTCTCCTCACTGTGTGTCCATCTACATTATCCTTGACTTTTTACCTGGCTAGCTCTGGCTTTCTCCTACTGGCTTACCCTTTTATCCCAGTAGGCTGAAAAGCAGCCCAGCAGCAATCTCTGAAAAACCACACCTATATGGAAAGCATCTGAATTGCCTCTAAACACATCTAATCAAGCCTAATCACTCTTACCTAGCATGCTTCTCAGAGTAGGTTCTTGCAGTTCTCTAATCCTCTAACATGTTTCTGTGCCTTGTTTGGATGTTAACACTACATTCATAGTTAACACTACATTCTTATGCCATGAACAGGACACAAATCCCTGCTTTACTGTTAATTTCTGTCTCTGGAAAGACTTATATTCCTTCTATCCACAACCTGCCAAAGTGAACTCTTGTTAGGCAGTCTAGTCGCCCTGTATCTATAAATGTTGCATTCTGAATATCTTCTTCTTTTCTCCTACCTCCTAAGTACCCTACATACATTTCCCAGCCTCAGGTGAATGACTTTGCATGTTACATTAAAATGAATGTTGTTTAGATGGGCATGTATTTTCAAGTAGTCCAGATATTGGAGTACTACCTAGTGCTTACACCTTCAGTTTGTAGTGTTCATCAACATCGTACAACCAGTTGTAGAGACTCCTGTAGAGTGCTGAAAGACTGGAAATAACCGGTCTGAGGTCTTTCGAACTGTGTTAGGTTTCTGTTGGATCAAACTTCCCTATGGATATTCCCATTCCTTATGGATCTTCCTTCCAGTGGAGTTCAGTACTTCAGTTTCTAAGTATTTTAATGCTAGACTGATCTCTCTTGAAATTACTGCTGGCTGTATCTACATCAGAAATAACTACAGGCCTGTAAATCAAAATACCTGATGTTGAGGGCTGTGTTCCCACTATGTGGGGGTTTTGTGTGTGGTTTGTTTAGACCAGCTCTTGCCTGTTCTCATGGACTTTCCCACCTACGTGTTGTGGATGGTGTTAGGCATTCTCCCATGGTGCAGCCTCTGGTGGTCCCTCTGAAAACTTCGAAAGTGCAGTACATGGAGACAATCTGCTTCAAAAGCACACTCTTGGCTCTAACTCATTTAACATCATCAAAGCGAGAATTTACACTAGTGCTGGAGCATAGATCAACACCTGCCAGACAGACTGGGAGATTAATGCTGCCATTAATGAAGTTAATCCGCATCTGGAGAAGGCACACAGGGATGTGGAAGATTTCTATCTCTTTGTTAGTTAATGGGAGAAGCTTGCAAAGCCATTCTTCAAAGCAGATACAGCTACAGATATGAAAAAGGAAAACATTCCCAGTTCACGTGCCTCCAGTTTGATCTCTGAGAGGCCTAATAACATGGTGGCAGAATCCATTTTTAGGTAATAGATAACTGTGCTTACTATGTTTAGTGTAGTGATCAAATTAATAGCAGGAATGGCTTTTTATTTGGTGTAGGGAGGGGCAAGAAAGGCAGGGCAAAACCCTCCAAATTAGCTGCTGTATACTCAGGATATACTCTGAGACAGCTCGGGAAACAGGGACTATGTATTTTAGCTGGTGGTATGCTGTGCAGTCACTTAATGAAAATATGTAAATACCAAACATCAGGGCAAATTACTCTGCCTTGGGGAAGGGGGTGGGGGGTGTTTAAATGCAACTGTTATTACTGCTGTCCAGTTGTTAAACAAAAAAACATCACCACCACCCCACCAGATGAAAGTATTCTATCACTTAACTGAGGTCACTCTAATACCAGAAAGCATCTCTGAAACACACTTAAAAGCAAGTATAAGTAGCTGGTGATGCTTTTCAAGGTGCTCGCAACAGATAAAAGACTAAGAAGCAATCCTGAACCAACAGCTGGAACCGTGTTAGTAAAATTTCAAATTTTCTTGTGTATCAGGTAACTTTTCAGAAGTACACTCTCAAATAGTTTCTATTCCTTATGATATGCTGAGTAGAAAAAAAGTAAGACTGCATATTCAAGAGGTTAGGTCTCACGCTAGCTTTATAGTCATGTAACTGCTGCTTACTTCCAGAAATTGAGAAACAATACAGCCTTTTTCTGCAACTTTCTCAGTTATGCAAAATCATTGCTCAAAACTGTAGACTGAGTCACTATCAGCATTATAGACAAATAGAAAAATCCAGCTCAGTTCCTTTTTTCCCTCTCCCCTCCCCTTTGCTTGAATATACAAACATTTCAAGATCAAGTGCTTATGCACATCAGTTGTTGACTCCTGTTTCTGTGGCACCTGCACAGTTGGGACCTGGACAAGTGGTGAGCCGCCTGCACCAAAGTAGGCTAGAGCTGATGCGGCCGTCAGATCTGTATCTAAAGCTCCATCCTAATTCTCAGAACAACCACAAGTTGGGCTGGCACCAAATCAGCCTGAGAACTCCTCTAAGCACTGTGCTGCAGACTAGGTAAGGCAGTACAGGCAAGTATGAGAAATTACTGTGCAGTATCAATGCTTGCATGGAGCTCTGTTGTTCAACAGATAAACTGCATTCAACAGTGCTGGCTGAACTGTGACAGGTATAAAAGGAAGGTCAAGTGCCCCAACAGCCATGTTGTTAGGGAGGGCATGTGTTGGCCTCTTCCTGTGTGCTCCAACACTTAAGGTGCCTTAAGTGTAGTGAAAACAACCTCCAGCATCAGCTCTTCCTCCTGCTCAATTTTATGTTGTGGTGACAGCTGCAAAGGTAAGGATGTTATTTTGCTCCTTTTGCTCCTCTGGCATTGAGTCAAAACCCAGAAGTTTGTATTAGAAAAGTGGCCTGGAAAGTACTATATTAACAGACATGCAAAGCCTGTGACTTCTGGGGAATAAAGAGCTTTGAAGTAAAATACATGCAGCAGCAGTAATCCATGCACACTTCATTAATTTCCAAACTGCAACAGCAAAGTACGACTTAGAAAAAGCTGTAAGATCATAATGAAGAGTTTGGGGTTTATTTTTTCTTTTAATCCCAAAAGCTCCTTATCTCAATTCTCCATGTTTTTTCATTCAATTTACAGTAGTCTAAATTAAAGCTCATCTAACAAAAAAATGACACATAAAGTTTGACTAACCTCTTCACCCCCCTCTTGATGACAATCCATTCTTCCTCAGGGGAATAAATGTAACAACTTTAAAATTGCTCGGTTAAGATAACTTTTCTCTGCGCTTTGTGTTTAATGGAATTTGGCTGACTTTTGGATATTTCAGCACCTTAAATTATTATGTGGAGATAGTGAGGGCAGCAATTCTTTCAAAGCCTTACTAAGACAAAAGGATCTCTAGGCACTAAGCTGTTGCGTTATCTCTCAACACGCACGCATCTTTCTCTACTACACTCCCAGTCAAGTTTGAGAACCCTTAACATGGGCCACCACATAATATGAAACATCAGTTTACTGCTTAAATTTGAGTCAAAGATTAGACTCAAAACAAAAAGTGCAGTTTAACACTGCATTTCAGTGCAGCTATGAGTTGCTGCTGGAAGGGGTGCTCATGCCCCTTTTCCGTCCCTTCTGCTAGACCGTGCAGCTGCAGCATATGCCAGTCCAGAAAGCTGGGATGCACTGGAAAACCGACTTTCAAAAGGCTAGCTCTAGATCCCTAAACTTGGGCAGTGGAACAGAGCCATCTTGCTGTCACAGCCTGCTATTACTCCAGTCTGTGAAGCCGGACTAAGGAGGATGGTTCATTTCTCCGTCTCAGCACTTCAGTTTATCAAAAAATGGCTCTAAAAGAAGCAATCCAGACCACTTATACCTCGTGCTACATGCTCCCTTCTTTCACTGTAAGAGTTCATGTGAACCTGCAGAAAGTAACTGATTTGATTCAAAACCAACTAGGC